ACATTCCTTGTACCACAAGTGAGATAGTGATATAGGCTATAAGAAAGACAAACGATACTTAAATTCCAAATTCCACGGTGTCTTACACATTTAGTAGGTAAGTCGCAATGAAGTTTAAAATAGGTTACCTTAGACCGGTCTGGACAGAAGTGGATGGGTGTTGTCCGAATTCATATTCTATCAGAAGCTACTATTTTTCATTTACTGTGGAAGCAAACCTCTACTAAAACGGTAGATATCTAGCCTATAAAGCACAAGTGAGTTTAAAATGCATAGGACTTGACTGAACAGTAGCGCTCACAATTCTAGAGTAGCGCTTGTTGCAATGCTCCATCTTTCTTACCGGTATCTGGTGATCGTAGTATTTTTATCGTTTAATTTTGGCTTTTAATGTATTTGCCGGTTAGGTCCCTGGCCCATGTAGGCAACTTATTTGTGTACTGGCCCTGGATTGAAAGCAGAAAAGTTCTTTTTCTATATATACGGCGTTCATGTTAACCCGTTGAAACCGAACGGTGCCTCTTGGTCTTTATTTCAACTCGAACGGCGTTTATGAGACACCAGCACTAGTTAAGATCCTATATGTCTTATGCGCGGGCATGGCTACCCTGACGCAGTATGGTGTTACGTTTTGTTTCTTTCGTTTATTCTTTGACGTTTGTAATAAAACTCAAAAACTACGTTATTAATTAACCGTATCTATTAACTATCTGGCTACGCAGGGTTGCCGTATTAAAGAGTTTTCAGAGAGGAAGTCTCCAAATTGCTTCCCACAAACCAACCCTTCTTCTACAGTATTATATATTAAATTCGTGGCAGACTGTGATTGTGGCGACTAATACATACTATACATACTATGTGCTGGCGAGATTCTGAAGGTGATCGCGGAAGTCATTGTTCTGGGGATTGCAACGGTGCGAGATAAATTTCTATACTTGATATGAAATGGTGAAAAAGAAAGATTAATGTTCATGGACTTGGCTGCGGTTCTGCATGTGGAAAAAGATTGTCGAGCCGAGCAAAGAAAATCAGAAGGCATGAAGCGGCATGTTCTTGTGGTATTCGGCCTCAAAGACCGACGTTAACGTCCGCATGAGTAGTCGAGCAGGCAGAGGATCGCGGCCAGCGGCTCAATGGTCGCGGGCTCAAAACTCAAATGCGGCAGAGTTTTCAGAAACTGCAGGCTTTAAGTCTGTACTTTGAAAATTTGTTTACAAAATGTATCGATAATAGATAAATAAATAAAAGTAAAGCTTGGAAACCGTTTCCTAACTACGCCGCCAAGAAAAACAGATTAATGTCTGTCTAATATCTGCGACTTGAAAAAATATTTATATTATTACGTGTATTATTATACTATCACTGAAGGATGGGGGGTATATTCATTTCATCATCAAAATAATAAATCGACTTATGCATATCCGTTTGTCCGTCTGTCCGTCTGCTAGATGTCTGTTGTAAACATTCAAAATGAAAGCTGTCGCCTTCAAATTTGCAAAAGAATTTGGAATTGATCTAAGCTTTTCAAAGGACACGCCTATACCGCCCACTTGCCTATATGACAAAAACTTTTGTTTCGAAAATAGAAGAAATCATCTGCGCCCACTCCATATTATAGAGCAGAAAATTTACTTCTTCTACTTTATATGCCTTTTTCAAGATAATTGTGATGGGTATAAAAGTTTCGGTCCCGACCGAATTTAACTTTCTACTTGTTTTTTTTTTACTTTCTCTTTTATTCCGTTGTATAGTTTTTTTTTGTAATACCATTAACAAACACCAATTCCGGTTATCGTTCTAAGAAAGTTTCCCTTTAAAATAATTTATCTCATATGCAAAGTTTAAATCTTATTTTAACAAATAAAGTGAATAATTACCTCTTAAGTCTGTGTGAGAATCTCTGCTCTCTCTTTGTTTTAACTTTTTAGTGCTGATGTTGCACTTATTCCCCCTTCGAAAAGGAAATTTGATTTAAAGCGAATGTTATTAATACCCTTACCCGAGCTTATTTTCTTTTTCGTTTTTTAATAAATGCTTAATGAAAATAAAAATAGTTCTATAGGACTACAACAAATACGTTCTAAGTAAGCATAAGCATCGTATTATAATGAAAAAAGATTTAATAATAAAATAAAAGAGAAAGCGCCTGTAAAGGCACTTACGGTACAATAAATTGAAACAATTACGTAGTAAAATGAAGATATTAAACTATTTTGGTTAATAAGCTCGGACGCGGGCTTATAAGGAAAAACAATTCTTTCTTGGTCTCGAAATTAAATAACGCTTGAAAATAAAACAAATTTTTTTTGTGAGTGATCAGTCGATAAAGGCATAACACTTGCCGCTTGGGCACACGTCGATCAGGCTGCGGTCAACACCTTTCTTTTTTCACAGTATTTACATTTGATAGCAGCCTTGCATGACAGAAATAACATAAAATAGTTGAAGACATGGGATAGAGGGTTTGGAAGATAGGCCAGGAAGATACTTTATACAAATAAAGTCAAAGATTGGCTATCGAGTCAAGGAAAAAAACATTACAAAGTCAAATTAGTGTTTCTTAGAGAACTTGCGGAGCCAAGTGAGTAGGAAAACAGATTGATCGGCAAAATGGATTTTTTCTACACGCACCGACATATATAATTTACCCATTTCAAGTAATCTTTACTGGCTATTACTATGCAAACGTTCAAAAGTGTTTCACGTATCTAACATACCTCTTGGATGTAACGAAGGAAAACATTCATTAAATTGTTAATGTTATAAAAGAAACGAAAAGACAAAATAAAAATAAATAATATTGAAAATAAAAGGCAAAAAAAGCAAAAAAAAAAAAAAAACAATTTATGCAGCTAAGCTAAGGCTGATTGTATGCAATTCATTTTCTTAACTATTATGACTTTCTAGTAATACAACAGTTTCCGGTACAAGCAAAGGGAAAGCAAAAACAACCAGACATTTCTTTTTTCTCAAAAGTTTCTTCCTCTTGCTAAAAGACTTTCGACCTATAACAAGTAAGAGTTACTCCACCCAAAGCAACGAAGAAAAGTTGCCCAGTAAAGCGGAGTGCAGCGGTAGGTAATATTGCGACGAAAGGGTTTAAAAACTAGAGGAACCTTACGTAACGGAAACAAGTGCTATGTGCTATATGCTAAGGAAAACGTTAAAAACAAAAAAAACAAAAATATATTAAGAAATATTAAAAAAGAAGGAACAAAAAATTGAAAGTTTGTTTCTTATGCTTGAAGTGCAGAGGGAAAACGTATGAACGGTTAAATTAAAAACCGAAAATCATTTCGGATGCAAGTTGTGTTCGAAGACTTTCTTAAATGTTTTTTGTTTTATTTTTTATTTTTTATTTTTTTTGTTTTTTTTTTTTATGTATTTTATGCTTTTAGGAAATTTATGGCAACAGCCCAGTCAAGTATTGAAGGTTTTTGCTAAAAACTGAAACTTGTCTGGTATGTAAAATATTTCACTTTTTTGCTCATATTGTATTTTTTCAATGAATTTTTACTTGAATGCTAAAAGTTAAGACTTATAAGTTGTTTGTTGTTCGATTTTCTCTACTCTAACAACAAAGTAAATGGCACATCAAATGGAAAACTAACATAACAACATATGCATTAAGAGCATTGAGTGACAGCTCGAAACAGCTAAACAGTTGGGAAGAGCGTAGAAGAAAGTAAATCATCGGCAGACGCAAGAGGGTGAAATTCTACAAAAATATGACATAAGGTAGAAGAAGCTGTTGAATGTTGCATGCTTGACTGGTGTATAAAGTGCTTGTTTTTATTGTTGTTGTTGTTACTGCTGTTACACTATTCGGCTTTTCATGATGAAAGCTTGCTTGCATGTCGGTGTTGAATTCTTTCATTCTCAGCTCAAGTAAATTCTTCCATTTGCTTTCTATATATAAACTTTTAGTTTAAAAGAAATATTTGCTATTTTTAGTCCAACTTTTTATTTATTTTTTTTATATTTTACTTTCTTGAATGAAGTGAACATAAATGGTTTTCATTGTTGCCTAGATTTGTGTAACCAAATGCATTTGAGAGATAATAGCAAAGGAAGAAAAAATTACATTTTGATTTTCCTTTTTTTTTTTTTTTTTTGGCTTTACTAAAAGCAATATACACCTAACAAAACATTATCAGCACATCCAAATATAAATATTTTTCCAAAACCATTCTATTCTCAGGAAAACTTAAAATACACTTTCTTAGGCAAAAAAAAAAAAAAAGAAAAAAGAAATCTCTGCATTTAAATTTTGAGAGGATACATTAATTTAAGTGAAATGTTTGTAAGGCAGGCCGGCCAATAGATATCGAAAATCTCATAAACTATTGCTATCCTTTATGAGTGTGTCTAGGGGTTAATTTAATCAAGTCAATGCATTTTAATTGAAATTGAGTTCAATGAGTCATTAATATAACTGCAGGACTTTGTCCACCGAATGTATATAAAGTTCATATTTTTTTTTTATTATCTTCTCTTTGGACTCGAAAAGCGAAATAAGCGATTAGAAAAATTTTAAAAATTCAACCATAACGTGGTTTACGCAAGGCTTTTGCAGCTATTTAGCTACGGGTCTATACGTAGCGGATCACTATGTCGTACGTATCGGTATTTCTTTTGTTGCACAAGTGTAAAAAAAAGTAGGAAATAATAGCTATTCTGACGTGCGTCACTACTCGAATTTATGTTTTTCTTGTCCTCTTTAATTTTTCCCATTTTTCTTTTGACTTCGTTCTCAAAAATAACTTTCAATTGTTGTATTGATTATTGCCACTTAAAAAAGTATTTGGAAATGAAAGCAAAGAAAAATATTATGAAAAATATCTCCTGATTTTTATTGCTGCCAAATCATCTCAGAGGAATTGCAGTCAACAATAATAACAAGATATTTACAACAACATTCCATTAGGGGTGTGCAAGTTAAACCTATAGCGGCAAAGTAAGTTTCAGACATTTTTATAGATTCAGTTTTTCATTCTTACCTTGGGCTGAGGTGCACGTTGTCAGCTGTGGGGCGTAACGATCGGTTAAGCGTTTGATGACATCTATTTGCTCCAAAGTCAATTGCACGGCATCGCGGTGTTGGGCTTCACATGGCACATAGGCAGCCCAGAACTAAAGAAAAGAAGCAAATAAATGAATTTTTCACAATTTACTCGCAAATTTATTACGTATGACAAATGCCCACGGCATAGACGATTTCTTAATTTTTCTTATTCCATTCCTAATAGCGAAAAGCATCTGCCGCCAAAAATACTTCATCAACACAATCTAGTTATACATAAGGTTGTTCGAAAAGTGATTCCACTTTTTTTCCCGACCTCACACTTACGCCGCATAAGCCCTCTATATTTTGATAGTCGTTAGGGCAAGGTTTGCTTTTGAAAAATTAAGTTCGATTGACTCCACGTAGTAGCTTCTAGTTTGTGCCATTCGTTATAGGGAAAGTGAAAAGCAGCACTTACGGCATATGTTTAAAATTGTTCAAGAAAGAAGCAAATTATCGGATATGTGACGAGAAGACGTATTGTCAGAACGCTAGATTCAAAACTGGTTTTGCAAAATTTTGATGTTTTGGAAGGCCAGTTGAAGCCTTCAAAGCCAATAAAGGTATTGACTGATGCAAGCCGGTCATAGCGCTGAGAAATTAAGTTTATCGAAATCGACAGTTTATGACAAAATATTCAGGCATTATAAGAAAAAAGTCTTTCATTTTCATAAGAAAAACAGAAAGCGGTTACTTTTCGAACAACCCAATATGTGTACACACACATATATATGTTAAATATATTTTGGAACTATGGGGTTACCTTACAAAGATCTTTGGAATCGCGAAGGGACCCCGAAATTATTCCGGATACTCAACCGATTAAATTTGTATCAATCCCGTCTATCAGTCTTTTTAAAAATTTCCTTAAGAATTTGTTAATATTTAACAAGACGAAGAAAATGTCACATTTGTCTACAGCGTGTACTGTAGTGAGACGTAAGATAAAGCGAAGTTTCACTCACTCGATATTACGATTGCATTCATCATTTCATTCACCTATCGTAAGTGTCATCTGAATATTATTTGTGGGAATTTTGCCCACTGTAAACATGTATTGCACGATAATTAATGTAAGTGCTGCAAATGTTTACAAGTAACTATCTAAAATTAAATTGTGATATAAACTTCATACATAACTTTCAATTAGTTCCGTGATGCAGATAAATGTTTCAGTTATAATCACCTGGTTTAGTTAACATTAAACTTGCGGTGGACACCAAGAGAAGCAAAGGTTAGCCGTACTCACTTTACATAAGCATTGTTGTCAGAGATCGTACTGATATGTGCATAGATATACACACGCAGGCACACATTTTAGTTAAGCGAAAGTTCTGCACACACCGCAGTAACAATAAATTTACTGACAATTCCATTAGAATATTATCAAAAACAATAAAGAGTTAGAGGGTCAAGGCTTGCAGATGCAGTACTCTCCCTTCAAAATACGTGCTACAATTATAAGTATGCGGTGGTTTGCAAGACTTCCAAGCGAGTCCTTGTTGTCATGGTTATTCAAAACGGAGAAACCTGTGCGAAATTGTGTTCATTTATTTTAATTTTTCCTTGAAAAAAGCAGAAAAAGACAAAAAAAAAAAAAAATTACCGGAAAATATTTTCTAAATATGCTAAGCAAAATTTTCAACTCCCTTGGAGTCTCTCTATGAAAATCAGCCAGAGTATCTAATTTGATACTCATGAAAAAGCTTCTTTTTTTTTTTTCTGGACTTAACTTCCGCTTGCCCAGTCGTGAGTGAAAAGCATTTCAACAATTACAGTAAACAAAACTAATATAAACAATGCATTTAGTAGCATTACAATGCGTACATACATATGTACATATGTATATATATATATATATATTTATATATAAAAATATATATATGTGTATATACAAACGTAATATGGGTAATTGTGAGAGTTCACAAAACACCAGCATTTCTAACAATATTTGTCCGGTCTGGTGTAAAATTTAAATGCAGAAAAGATTACTCGACATTTGAATTTCTTGTTTAGCACCTTTATGACCGCACTGTTATATTCGGTCGGTATTATGTTTGTTTAAAAGTGTGAATCACAACATAACACAACTTACAATTTGTGTATTGTTACTGCGTATTTTCGTTTTGTTTTTATGGGTCAGCTAACTACCAGTTTATGTTCTGTAACTGAACATATACAAACTTACGCTCGCTGCTTCTCTTTACTTATATATTGTTTCCCTGCATGCATGTACTGTGTTCGGTATGTATGGTCTCATCTTAGGTCACTACTGGAAATGCAATTCCCTCGTACCTTTAACTTTTTATCTTTTATATCCACTTTAATGACGCTGCTGGAGTTATTACGTCAGTTTTTATACAGTGCTATGCGTCGTTGAATATTTGAGATGTAAACACATCGCATCAAGTGCTTGTTGTTAAAAAGAATTTTTCGTATAAGAGCGTTATTGTGTACATATGAAGGAGTGTATCAAAGTTTTTTTTTTTTATTTTCTTTTTTGCAAGAAAATTCTTAACACCAGAACTGCCGACCTTTTTTTATACATAACTACTTTTACCGTCAATTCCATTTACATTTACATACATCTGATGTCCAAACTTGATTTGAAACTTATTTAATTTTGGTTACTTGTGGACTTTTACCAATTCTTAGACTATTAGTGTTATTGAAAGTGTGTAAGGACCAAAGCTTAAAACTCATGCTTGTTGTTATTCCTATTGCTGTTAAGGTATGATTAAGTATCTGTATGATCGGCTTAACTGCAGATTAAATACCATACGATTGCTTGGGCGTCGGTAAGAAAATGTGGTTAAATTTCATTGGCGGATTTCACTCGGCGTCTCAAATCGGTAAGCCATGTCGGCCATTGAAAAAACTGATGACAAGTCGATCTCTAAGCTTCGCTCCCGTTTTACGTCCTTTCTGTTAAGGCCGTCGCCGAGAGCGGACATGTGCAAATTTGTAGTACATTTTATTTTATAGAATAGAATGTAGCGCGTATTACGATATCTTGTAAGTTAAAGGGAAATTTGAGATCATCAAAGTTTGGGTAACGCTAAGCTTTTGTTTCAAAACTCACGAGAGAGATAGCATTCGCTCCTTATTTTGCTGGCTAATCCTTCAGATCGAACAAATGCCGCTTGCGCAACTTTATAAGCTTATCCGTGTTCCTCAGGACCTGTAAGTGCGAGTGGCAACAACGAAAGAACAAGCAAATTTTTTATCATAGATAGAAAACTGACGAGTTGGTGGCAAACGTCGGATAAAAAGATTCCAAAGGTATAGAAAATTAATAAGGTTTCTGTGAAATCCGGCATAAGCTCGTGTGCAATTGATGAATTACTTTGTAGTACTTATTGCCCTTAGTTCATAGCAAGATTAGAAAGCGTAAGGGCACAAGAGACTTTCTGGCCATATCAGCTTTATCTTTTTTATAAAGTCACTGGGAGACATTTTAAACCAATTACTGCGAGGTAAGGTCCTGCAGCACTTCTCTTTTTCTTCACTTACATCTTCATATACGTTCGTCATCAAATACTGCTTGTTATGCTTTGTTGTCATATAAAGGCTTTTTCTTTTATAAAGAAGCATAAACCTAAACTTATGGGGTTGATTTTCTTCTCAAAGTCATAAAATGGCCCAAAATAAGACCTTGTTGCCAAACATGAGAATGCAGAATACACCAATGTTGCCCAATACAGTAGCACATAGCAAATTTATATATCAAATCATTTTTCTGGCTCTGTCTTCATCTTAACATAGTAAAAGCTAGACCTTGGAGCCCTATGAAGACTTTAGTTTTGCTACATATTTGTCAGTTTTTAAGTCGATCTTATTATGGGAATTTTCCGAATTATCGCACAGGAAGGGAACAATTGCTTTGAATGCTAATTAAAAGTCGATCAACTACTCTGCAATAGAGTTCGTAGACAAACCTACACCTTAATGCTGGTTAAGAAATATCGCGGGTACGGTTCCAGTTTGTAAACAAGCAGTAAGCGACTGGGACTTCCAAAATTTGCATGTTCCTTGTTCAGATGGTAGCAAAAAAGTAGGCGGAGGAGGATGTGTTAAGTGTTTTATTGTAAGGAAAAAAGATGTACTCTTTTGCCTTATGACCGTTTACTCCCCCTATGTCATCCTATACGTGTAACTCGGTGACGGTCAGAGCGATGTAAGAGAAGACAAGGGGATCAGGAATAGCCGCAGCTGAAAGTTTGCGCGTCAAATCAGTCGGTGTCGTCATGTAAAGCAGACATTTTCATGCTACTACATCCTATCATATTTCAATAGGCCTTTTTACCCACATGTTGCTTATCAAACCCTACGTCCCTAATGTCTATGTTTTCCATGATAAGACCTACAAAGAGATTATACCAACAAGATTTTGTAACAGTTTTGTTAATTTCAGCAGCAGCAGCTGCTTGCGTTACAAACGTTACTATGTACTTATTGTGCTCATATGAATAATACGTATATATATGTAGGTCAATTAATTGAAGGGAATTATTAATTATATTATATTAATAATTATATTTAAAAAACAATCTTCAATTTTTTTTTTTTTATTATTATTTTCTTTAACACTTCATTCATACAATCGCTGTTCGCTTCATGATTTGTACGTGTGTGACACTTAAAAATAGAAAATTAATAATTTTACCTTTCTGAAAAAGAAAATCTCTGCACCGCTTTTTCTGCTCTTGTTCTGGTCACCGTTTTTCTCATCTTTTTTTCTTTTTTTTCGTCTCTGCAGCTTTTCATTTATGCAGTCCCTACAAATTTTTCAATTTAAAATTTCTTTAACTCCTAGTAATCTTCCTTAAATACTTATAAAACAGTCGTGACAGTCTAAAGTAGAACGATACAAATGCCTCTGCATGGACACGCGGAACTAGGTTGGGTTAAAATAGGTTGTCTTGTTTTCAGTGTAAATTATATTATATAGTTTGTGCTTTAATTTTAAATAAATTTTTTTTTTTTGGTTTTGAAAATGGGAAATCCGTACATAATCTTTCTGGCTCAGGTTTAGAAAAATATTTCGCTACTAAGTATTTGTAAATTTTTCATTCGCGCATTTATGTAATATTTGTGATTATTTTCACATGCTTTATTCTAGAAAGGACTCTAACTATATTTTATTACACTTGTGCATATATAATACCAAAATCAAAAAAAAAAAAAATAAATAAATAAAAATATTATTTTTATCTAAATTAATGATTTGGTATTTATGCATGTATTTGCTTAAATCGTTTTAAACGTAATCCTTTAAATAAATTGTTGTTTGAAAAAAGCATAAATGAACAAAACTAAAATTTCGGATTTTATTCTTATATTCAGAGCTGCACACAAGCGATCCATCATCAGACAAAAGCCTCGCCGTGCACAACCATGCACATCGCTTATAATGGCAAGGCTATCGGTACACATGTTTACATACAATGCAACAAATTGCAGCAATACAAATCCATATAATAGCCTATTGGTCGACATAAAACATGAGCACTTCAACGTGACTGTGGTTTGAAGTGAAAAATTTATTGGCCTATTTTTTTTTTCTTTTTTTCTTTTTTTTTTTAGCCAATAGACAGGAAAAGTGCTAAAGAGAAAGAGTTTGCTGAGGTGACATGTGTGGAAAGAGGGCGAGCGAGAGAGAGAGAGAGAGAGAGAGAGAAGAGGATTGAGGTTTTTAAAGTTCCTATATTGTTGTATCGAAAAAGCGTTTTGTTGTTTAAAAAACTATTGTTTTTACATTTATAGCGGATAATAATCGCTGTAGAAAGTAATTTCGCACTGAAGGCCATATAAAGGATATATATTCTTGAATTGCCCTCTAATCATTTGCCTCTGGTCGTTAAAACCACAATTCTATCAAAATTGTCCTCGAACTTTTCTTTCATGCCTGTGAAGTTGGGATTGCAAAAATAGTTAAATCGCTCATAGTTGGCAGGGAAATAATGTTTTGAACACTAAATAACTATTTCTAATCTTTTTTGGTCTAACAGTAAAAAATGATATTAATTATGATGCTATTCTGATGCTAAAATTTTATTATTATTGTTATTATTATTATTATTATTATGTTATTCTATGAAGTAAGCGGGTGCGCATGCAATGCTATTGGAGATATTTTGTTATAGTAACAGCTTATATATGGCGGCACGTTTGTGCGTGATCACTACTGACCGTTATGTTATGTGTTACTGATGCAGTTAACGTTACATAATGGCATGGGCGTGCATATACAGCATGCCACATTCGCAATGGCTTCACTTGTTTTATTTGCTGCTTTCGAAATGAATTTTGTTAAAAAGCAAGAATAACGCACAAGTGAGTTAAGTACCAATACATAGACGGATATACTTTCCTTTCTGTTGTCGATGATTCACATCAAATGCATTTCCAACCTAATGCAAATTGATAAAATTTCTGAAGACGTACAAGGAAAGGCGGAAGTTACAGTTCATGCAATTGAGTTTAATGATTGATTTTTATTTTGGTTTAAAAATTTGCACACAAAAGACCGTTTCCCATTGCAATGACCAAAATAAGCAAAATATAACATGAATACCTAACTGATTTTTTGCTTTGCCTTTTGGAAATAACTTTCACACTTTTATAGTGCATACAGTGAAAGGCATGTGTGAACATGCACGAGTGATTGTTGTCGCCTTAAATATGCTTTTTACACCCCAACTAACTGGATTCATGACTTTGAAGCCAGTATACATATGGAGGATAAGAAGAATGGAAAAGTACCTGTATATAAGTACAGCACCATACATATGTACTCAAGTGTACAGCCATGCACGCATAAATAGCATACATTTTATTATAAGAAAAATATAATTAGTTTTATTAAGAAAATCGTAAAATAGTTGCAATAATTAGAACAAAAACCAATTATGCAGTAAAAGTCGTTAAGGACGGTGTGGAATAACGACTAATTTTGTCCCTTTTATTATTGAAGCGAATATACTTTAACGAAGGAATGAATGCATCATTTAATATAATAATTCAGTGAACAAAGCAATCTCGTTCTACATGACTTCGCTATTACTAAAGAACTTGGTTCTTACATAAAAAATCAAATGCCAATTGATTCTATATTAAACAGGGTGACCAGGATCATTCAGTGCATAAACATATATAAGCTATATGGTGTAGAATATAGAACTTATATTAGAATATATCCGCTTGAGTGGCCGAGTAGGCAAGAGTCTCGACCAGCAATTCAATGGCCGTGGGCTCAAATTTTAAGTGCGGTAGGGAGTTTTTAATAAAGCCGAAAGCCTTAGATGCTAATGCTCTACGACTTTTAGTCTTAGAATTTAATCTCTGGCTAAATTTATAATAATAATAATAATAATAAAAATAATATATTAGAATATTAAAAGTCTGTATTAATTGGCGTTAGGGATAAGGTCCTGATTGTAAAACGCGGAAATAAAAAATGGCAAAATTAAAATTTCACACTGTCTTTTTCTTTTTACAGTTTATGAGAAAAGATTCAGAAGAGTTTCGCAGACAGTGTTACATAAGTGAGCATCAAATGTTTCTGAGTTCGAAAATAGCCTAAAATAGTTCATTCAAAAAAAAAAAAAAAAAAATGTCAAATATCGGTTGAAATCTTTTTTCAGAGTGAAATTTTTTTAACAGCGACTTAGCTTAAATTCGCACTTTTTACGTGTCCCTGGCTGTATTTGTATAATATAACCATGTACACGTTTATACAAATTTAAGAAGAGGTGATAAATTGTAAATTGTCTTCGTAGACGGGAAAATACTATGAAATGCAATTCTTTTCTTTTTCTTTCATTCCCCTGCAACTCTCCGCCCATGAAAGCGTTTTGCAAGTATTATGTGCACAAACACCCATATATTGCTTTGACAATTTACGATAGTAATAAATAGGAGTGGAGAACTTGTGTTTATTTGCTGTTAAAAAGTTTCTGCAACATGTGACAGAGAGTGTGCATGCATATCTAATATCTCATATGTCTTTCTAGAATTGGTGATAAAGATGCTGAAATTAATATATATTCCTCTACGCGTTCGTAAGCGATGCAGCAAAAGCAAACGTATCTCAATTGCATCTCTTTTCATGAAACTTTGAAAATTAAAATACTTCGACGAAACATTTCATTTTATGCACAACGATATCTGAGATATTGCACGCTTCCCCGCCTAAAATCGAAATGTTATTTGTATACTCGAGCTAAAACTAATGCCAATTAACTTGATCTTAGATATGAAACCTATACAAATGCTTATTAAGTGTAAGCAAATAAATGACTCTGTCAGGAGATTTTAACTTTATCGCAATTTCTATTCCATTTAACATTAAGACTTAACAAAAAAAAGTCAAATAAAAAACATAAGTAAAAAAAAATCTTGGGCCCGTTTTCAAAGTTGTACTGCAGGGTGTATCGAATAGAACTTTGACTTCTTCTTGTGAGAGTACTGCCTCTAAGTTACATACCAATATCGTCTTTAAGCTATCATTTTAAAGATTAGACAAGACAGTTTCTTAGAGCTTTGAATACATGATTAATTCAATGGATACCCCCGCTAAACTCTTGCCAGCGATGAGCAGTGGATGCCCCACGGTATCCAAAATCCCAATAACCGGAATCCAAATTACGTGAGGCAATAATATCGAAGATAAAGCTAAAACTCCCTGGAGGCTTTAATTTTTTCAATATTTGTGGACAATCACTCAGGTGATCTCTCCTATACACCTAGCACGGCGATGGTCAAAAAGAGGTGAGAAAAACGGAAGGTGGTGACCTTTTAGAGTCGCATTCTAGAGGGTTTGTGCGCAATCGATAAGTGTTGTTTCTTTACTGATTGACCCCTCACTATCGAATATGCTCTACCGCATTAAGATCTTGGAATGGCGACCATTGAGTTTATTATCGTAATTTTTATATTCTCCGCTACCCGTGCGGAAAATTTGGGAGGGGCAGGACGCGATGTATTACAATTTTTTTCAGCCAAATGAAATCATCACGAAGGTGTGCTATCAATAAGAATCATCGTTAAACACTGTCGATACACTAAAAGTGATAATATCGTGAACGGGAAAGATTCCTGCTCGATATCATAAAACTCGGTCGGGAAATATTTGCAGTTCGAAGCGGCGACGTCTTACCTTTCCAGCTGCTATCAACGGACATTACTCTTTCCGATTAACAAGGGTTTCAGTAGATGACATATTGTCTACTCAAAGGGTACTTTCGTTCTTGTCACGACAGCCAAATGTGGGCTTTCGGGGACTGCCCCGAAAGACGAGATAATGTTACGCGATGGACTTGCCTGAGGGATGAAAAAAAGTAGTTGCCATCGATGGGCAGTACTTTGAGTTGTGCTGACGTTTATTTATTTCGTTCTGAAAGAAATGCATTTTTGGCGGAAAGAACTAATTTATGGCGCTAATAAATTAAAAAATTGCAACTTTAAGAAAGAATTCTTTTTAAAAAGTTTTAAAAAAAAAAAACAAAATTTTTTTTTTTTGCATTTGGTTGAAAGAAAAGTAATCAACACATTTCGTTTGTTTTGTTTTTCCATATTTAGTGTAACATGCAATTAATATAATTAAGATGCTTACCTGTGCCGAGACTCTACCCTTCTTCAGTCGCGTTAAGTCCGTATGACTCCAATGGCTTCTGGCCCAGGGCATTACGTTGCGTAGATCTTCATTGAAACTTTTGTTGAAAAGAATAATTAGTTAATAAAAAATTTTTAATAAAAAAAGAAAATTATTTTACGCTTTCTCCCCTCTAACGTTCCCTTTTATCGACATTAGAGGGAAAGTGAAAACGAAATAACACATAAGCGGACGCACATACACACACGCAGATTACATTTATTAATAATAATCGATTAGCGAACACTTACTTAAAGTCGTTGAGTTTATTGTGCAGGAACTTTCGTATATTCCAGGGTAAATCGTTATGCCCATCAATTAAAGGCACTTGATCCAATAATTGCAAAGCAACACGTAAGCGTTCCTCAAATGGAGCACCTATATCATACGTGTGCAAAAGCGGGCGAAAGAATAAAATAGAAAAGTGGAAAATTGTTTGTTTGGTGTTTTAGGATTTCTCTCTGTTTATAAAATGGTATAGAAAAAAAAAAAAAAAAAAAAGAAGAAAATGAACTCTTATGGTACATCCGCATACACACACGAGTAACTTTTCAAAATCCCATGCACTTTTACCTGGGACTACCAGCATTTTGCTAAATACAAACTTAAATGGTGTCTATGTGCGAGTGTATGATGATTAAATCCTTGCTTATCTATGCACTTCACGTAACGATATATTTTGCTGGCATACATCAGCTTAGCTACTCTGGAGCGTAGACGTTTGTATTGCGATGGTGAGGGTATAGGCTATAAATTGTAATTGTAATGAATGTACTCACTTGCAGCCACACGTAACGCCAATGGTACAGCAACACTAGCAGCGCCAATTATTAAAAGTATTGAACTGACTGCTAACCAATGCTTAGCAACATCAAATCCTGTATGTAAACGAAATTGTGAAAGAAAGGGAATGAGAAGAGAAAAGCAACAAAATGACACCACCAACACAATCGGCAGAATGTTTGATGAACAAAAATACTTTATAAATGATTTCGAGAGCTATTTAAATGGGAATGCATTCTATGTAGCTGGATTTATGTATGTAGTTATGTATATAAGCATTTATGTACATATGTATATATACATTTATATATATGTATAAATGTGCATATCAATGAAGTAAATTGCATTGGCAGTTGGCAATAACCACAACAAGATAGCGTTACTGACGACAATGACAACAATGATGGCTGGTGGATAATGATGATGGCAGCAACAATTACGTAGTAAATAAAACTCAGACATAAACTGAATCGAAAGCTTGAGTTGAGAGAGAAAGAGCATTGTGCGGATAATAACTTAACACTTGGGTTTAGTTAATCGTTTTCAAGTGTTGTGAAAAGAGACGCTTCTGTGGAGATAACTCTAATTGTGCCAGCATATTTGCCTGTTTGTGTGTGTCTTTGTGATACGATATATAGGTCTCCCATTGGTTATTTTCTGTTTTTTTTTTTGGTCTTTCTATCTTTCGCTTTGCGTTTAAGTTGCGCAAGTAATGACAATAACTGATAACAATCACGAGTGCAACGAGCAAAAATTCTTTTCAGTTAGACGGAATAGAATTTCTTTCTCTGATTTAAGTAATAAACCATGCCTTTATTCCATTATGCAATTTCATGGATATGAATACGATGAATGAATGAATTTTTGCTTTGCTGTACGAAAATTTCATGCTTTTTGATTACGATTAATATTTTCGCTCTCTATATGGTAGAAGAACATATATTTCATCTGTAATCAAAACGCAATGAAGAGTGAAAATCAATGTAACAATAATGCAAAATTCTTCCTAACGCTTGGTTAAAGTTTTGTATGCTTAGCAGTTTGCGTTGGTTGTTCTCTACGATAAAGTTTTTGTTTTAATTGCGGCGAATATTTAATTGAGATTCCTCTTCAAGCTGGGTTTCGTTTGTTTGTTGCTTGTTTGTTTATTGGCTGCTCGGTTATCTGGTATTTAATTTTAATCGAGCAGACATTAATTAGTTACCCGAGTGTTTATTTAGCAACCGAAAATGTAAACAGCGTGTAGCGATGATATTAAGGCAAACCATGACACTCTTAATACTCTTAACACTCTTAATACTGATACGGTTTATGTATGGTAACAAAGAAGGAAAGAAAGAGAAGACTGTCTGACTTGGATGATTGGATGATATGTGACCATAAAAGTATTCATTTAACTTTATGTTGTCGTGTCTTGTAGGAATATACAAAGGTAAAGGGTAGGAATCATAGCTAAGTCCAAAATTCATTATACGCACAAGGTTCGTGCCTCAATGAAATACCGATTGGAATAAATTCCGACTGCTAAAGGAGAGCTGAAAAGAGCTTTATTAGGAACATAGCAAATTAGTTAGTTCGCTTGGGTAAAATATCGATGCTAGGAACACGTAAACTTTCTAATAAGAGCATCTTACGAATCTCGTGATTTCACATCAAGTTGGGAAATTAGCTGCTATATACATATCGATCCCTTTAACAAATATTTCAGGAACACCAAATTCCTATTTAAATTTTATTACTATAGAGATACTTTTTATAGAAGCTGCTTGATATATACGCGTACTCGAAAATCCTCCCACTGACACAATGCATACTAATGGCCTTTTTGAGTTGGCAGTATTATCAAATGCCATTAAATTAGTATAAACAATATAAAGGAACAGGCATGTGAATGCATATACACATACATCCACGTATACACACACACACACACACACACACATACCCATACTAATAAGAGTGTAGAATATATTTCTGCCTAAACAGCGGTACTATTCATGTTTGCATGCATATCTAAGACTTAATGTTTAAATGGTTGTGTGCTATTATTGCTTTTGTCGAAGACATTAAAAGCTGCATTTAAATGAAATCCAACAAAACAAATTTCTATTGATATAGCTAAATGCATTTTGATTATATGAAGACCTATACAAAGTAAGTTGTGCATACGCTGCTGCTTGTGCTTATGTATGCGTGTCTGTGTGTATGTATGTTTTTTGCTAGTGCATACATTTTTGTTAGTTCAATGGCGCTTTCAAACTTCATCCAAGCCAAACCAAGCTAAACTAACGAGTTTGCATAACATTTACTGAGATATTTATGGAGCCAAAAAGTAAAACAACGCAACGCACACGGGTTTTTAGTGTTCACTGTTGCAACACCAATAAAATTTTACATTAAATATTTTGAATATAAGCGGATATAAAAAATCAACTCCACTAGTAGCAACAGCAGCAGCATTATCATCATCATCATCATCATCATCAATAACAACAACAATAGCAGAATCACAAACACAACGACTGATAGAAAGAATGATGCTGCGATGGTGTTCGAATAACGCTTTCCTCCTAACAGTTCAAACTCACAAGTGACATGTAAGTTAGTTGATTTGCATAACACTAAACTCTTTCGTACCTCTTTTTTTTCGGTTTTTTTTTTTTTTGGCACAACATTTTTAGCAACCGAGCAGTAGTTGCTGTTTTTGTTAGTGGCAACAGAGGCATAGACGTAATGCACAGACAATATAATGCACACAACAGCAGTCGGTTTGTTTGCAGTGTTGCGGTAGAATAGCGTGTACGTATGTATGGGTGTGTGTTTATGTCTCTATGTGTACTTATTTCAATGTTTGGCGGGCGTTGTGTGGGTGTTTATTGCAATCGCAATATGTTACAAGTATATGTTATTATACTCTTTCGTGTAAGCTTTTGATATACTTAACGGCAAGGCATAGTTGCAACTAATTGCATTAAAGCACTCGTAACTTCATTATTACGTATTGTCAGAGTCGTTAATGAAATTTTAGCTGTTGCAATAGCCGTAGCGAAAATCAGCGGTTGCCAACTTAATATAATACATGTGGTGGTGGCGGCGTCGAGCGACCGACCCATCAGATCAGATGTTATACCGACCGGCATAACACCGTAATGATAATAATGGCATTAATAGCAATACAACAACAAATTAAACGAAATCACCAAAGATTACCACTTAAACCGACAAAGGCTCATTACTTTTAAACGTATACTAGCCATAGCGAAGAGCGCATTAAATGGTAGCAATGACGATAGTGATTATAATGATGATGACGATGATGATGATGATGATGACGCCCAGATGGGCATGCGGTTGTTAACACATATGTCAACATCTGCATATTTCTATGGACGAAAAGCGGAGAAGATTACTTTTCAAAAGATATTCATTATCCAGACTAATGAGCAACAGGGCCTGGCCAACAGACAACAGCGCTCTATTTAAATAAATGTTTTTAGCTTTTGTTCGTTACTGTTTATCACTTTTTCGATCGCAAATGGGTTTAAAGTCTTTCTTTCACTCACAATTGAAAACTTTATTTCTTTCCACATTTATTAAATTAATTAAATATTATTTTCTGTACAAAAATACTTACGAAACGAATTCGTTCCCGAACTGGACGAACCACGACTAGGACTCGGTCGATGTTTCCATGGCATTATGCTGCTTAAACTAGAATGATGATGAGGCGAATTTTGACGACGATGTTTTTCGTTATGATGTACGTGCAGTGATGTTGGCGAGCCCGGAGATCTTAAATAGATATTCTCCTGTTTATCGCAATGAAATTCTTTATGATAGCGTTGTTGCATTTTTGATGATGATATCTGACCATGTAAGAGTTTGTCTTTAAGGCCGCTATTGGATCTCCCGAATGATAAATGATGTTTATGATGCGTTGCAGCATGATGACCATCGTAACAGTTATCAAAATCCAATAAATTTGTAAAGCTACGACTATTCGAAGGACGCACTATCTTTTCATCCCTACCTGTTGTTGCTGTTCTTTTTGTTGAGGTATGAAAAATGTGATGGTCTTGTTGTTGTTGTTGTTGTTGTTGTTGCTGTTGATGTTGCTGAGCATGATGATGATGCTGATTGTCATAGTTGATGTGCAGTTTTGAGCATGACTTTTGCTGTAATGTGGAGTCATGCGAGAAATTCGACCATGATTGTGAGAAACAGCGACACGGTTCTTTATCATTACCTATGGAAGAGGGGGGAAGAAGTGGCAATTGCTGCGACTGGTCGTGCTGACCCAGCATCTGCTGATTGTAAATGGCCAGTTGACGCGCATAATCACTACTCGGACCGATTGTATTGTATTTGCTAAGACTTAAACTACTGCTGTGTTTGTTTTTATGCATTGATTGTAAGTCGCGTTGTGATGTGCGTTGCTGTAAGTCTACAAAACCCAATGGTGGTCCTGTACCCACCGTACCAGTAGGTGTCTTGTGTAAAAAACATAAAGCGGGATCGACTTTCTGGCTCTTTGGTATAACTATATCGTCATCAACAAAGCGATAGGGTGGGGGACAGTTACCAAACGCGGTGGCAGTTGTTACGTGACATACATCTGGCTTGCCTTGAGCTGTGATGGTGGCCAATGTAGCCACTTGTGGTTTATAGCTACCGTTTGTCGTTGTACTGGCGGTGGACGCAATATCCGAACCAACTGCCGCATTGGCGCACTTGAGTATCGAAGTGGTACAGTCGTCAATCACCGCACGCATATCGTGGACACTTTTACTGCAGTCGTTAAGTAAATCACCGCTACATAAAGTTACTATCGAACCATTGCTATTATTATTGCCAGTGTGTTGGCTGTTGTTACTCTTGTTCACCTTAATGCCATTATAAGGGGCGTTTGAAGATCTTTGGGTGGTAGTGATGGTGGTATTGTTAGAGCTGCTGGTTGACATGTGCTGTTGGAAGTGCTGTTGCAATAAACGTAAACTGCGTATGCTGCCGTTACGCTTTAAGGCTGGTGGCGGGGGTACGGGTGGTATGGTTTCAACGTCCGACAAATACGAAACATCATTCTGCACAAAAAAAGAGAACACAAGCATATAAAAAAATGAGTAAACGAAAAGAATAGCAGTGAGTTTTACTGACTAAACGGAATATATTTATTTTTTATATAACTGCTTGTGAGAAGGTGTTTCAAAAGTGCAGAAAAAAAAAAAAAAAAAAATAATCTATGCATTTGTTTTTGTTGCTCAAATCAATCAATCGAATCAATCATTTCTTTAAATGCTGCCGCTGCGCAAGCATTAATCATCGAACCGTTTTCGATATGTAGACGAAAAAAGAGGAGAAATAAAGATGAAAATAAATAAAGAAAATTGAAAATTTGCTGTAAACAAAGCTGAACCAATTTTGCAAACTTTCTCCTTAGCCTTTTATGCGCAAATTTATTTTTATCGTCAATTTTGAGATGAGTTAAGGTTCGGCAAAAAATAAAATAAAGGCAAAGCAATGCTACCTGTTTAGCTAACCTGTAAGCGATACCGCAGAATCACATAAAACCAATAAGAAATCTTTCTTTCTTTATTTCGGATTATTTGATTCAAGTTTTCAAAGATTCGAGTATGAAGTAAGATATTTTACCTCAATGCACTTAATTAATTGTTATGCATTCTTCTTACATTTCAAGCATTCCTTTAATATCATGTTTTCTTTGCAAGCACTTCCATAATGCATTAACCCCCACTGAACTTATGCCATTAATGAAATATTTTAATATTCATAATTATGCAGACTTTTGATGCCAGGAAAAGTACTTGCGAATCCATCATACATAATATGTAATGCACATGCATGCGTTGTCAATGTCCCCGGGCGTGTATGTATGCAGATTAATGTGTTTAATTAAAGGAATGTATTTAGCACAGTGTTGCATTTCTCTTCGACTTTCCTTCTTGATATAGGAGAGAAGTATGCTAAGTTTCACATGACAAGTGTTTTAGGTGAAGGCGAATAAGAGACATAGGCGGGTAAGAGCACGGTAATTAAATACCCTAAACCACCCCACATCTACCACAATATTTGAAACCAACCTTCGTAAAAAATACGAAAGGTTGACAACAAACTTGCACTTCTTGAGAACTCTTGTATGGAAAATGTGCTCAAAAATAGATCCAAATCAAATTTGACGCAGCAGGTTTGCATGTTGATTTACAATCTTGCTCAAAATTTCATCGGAAAACAACAAAATTTAGATCTTGTTACCGTGTAAAACTTTACCTCCTATATAACAGATAGCCTTCTCCCAGAATTTTATGTATTATGTGCAACAAGTGACGTGGATGTGCAAATATTGTACTTAGTTTGTTTGATTTTGAAAATGAATCCTTTCTATGTTAAAGGAATAGTGATACGTTAACTGAAGCTGTGATACGATAACAATACCAGATATGAAGGATAATTAACAGGTTATCATAACATGCTATAAATAGAAAGATTGCCCTATATATAGTACTGTCCACTCTATTGCTAAGATCTAACGCACAAGGAAACGTACGAGTTGATAACGTTGCCTACCTGAAGAGCAAGTGATTTAACCTATGGCTTCTCAAGTCGATGCCTAAGTTTGGACAAATGATATTGAGTGGCAGACTGAAAAAGGCAAGTAAACTGCAATAAATTCGATGGCAGCGAAAAAAAAATGATAGAGTCCATTATTTTGTCTTTCCCCATCAAGCCATAAATGTAGTACGTGTGTACGTGTAACACAGAGGAAGATAGAAAAAAGTGAGAAAAGAGTGAAGTGATAGGAGGCGGCAGTAGTCTAACGGATGGCTGCCGAATAGGTAGGTGGTTTGACTTTAGCGGCCGAGCGCACACTGTAGCTGCGATCAAGTATGCTCTACCGCCCCGAGGGTGGCGCCCACTTACATTTCTTTGGTAGTCGCAATTCCATTCACTCGGCTACTCAAACTTGCCAAAGAGTTCAGTTCGTCTTGTAATAAAGTTTGTCGAACTAGCTATAAGCTGCTGGTTAATAGTGACAGGCCTCATACGACACTCGTATAATTTTCAAGTACCCAATAAAACCATGGTGCAGCAGATCAGGATAGTTTTAACATTTACACTACGGCTGGACATCACTGATATCTGATTAACATCTCTATAGGATGAAACGAGTCGCTCTTACCCAACGAAACCAACTACGACCGACACGTCTTTTCGTCGAAGACTTATTCCATATCAGGGCAACGCTTTGATGCTTCTAACATTGACGAAGAGACACTTGTTGTCGTGCCTTCACGGAATTTACATTCTGGTAAAAATATGGGAAGAATTTGTAGTTAACACTGAACAATCTTTTGAATAAGGAATGTATAGCTAACGCTGAACCATATATTGAATGAGGTATTTTTTAACATTCATTTGAAAATAATCGCTTTTCTAAAACAGTCTGATAGGGCTAATTTTACGCGTATCAATGGCATTTAGATGGAAAGTGTTTAAGTTATTTGTACCTTATTTAGTATATGGCGATGAAAAATAAGAGAAACGGAAATTTTTAATAGCGTGCTGTATAAAGGGCACCTCTAGATCCTTTAAACCCGAAATGGATCTTTCTCACATACTCACTTCACTTCGTGTACTAATACCTAAAGTATGTTGTGTGATAGCGACACCATTACTATGAAGCGCGAAAATAAAGCGAAAACATCATCATTTGCATTATTTGTGTTGCGTGTTTTTTTGTTCTCCAATATTTCGCGTAATTAATATTAATATTAAAAACGTTGTTGCCCATCGACAAAGGGAACCATTCGGTAAGGAGAGCGTGACAGAGAGAGGGAGAGAGGGAGATAGAGAGAAGCAACAACAAAAATATTGCACAAATTATTAAATATGTTGATTGTTATTTTTATTATTGTTATTATTATCCTCACACACATACATACATGTATAAGGTATATGTATATTTAAAGCTCACTTAAAAGAATTATATTTTTGTAGTACCTACTTGCGTTAGACCTCGTTTTTCCAACAATTAAATACATTTACTTTTCATAAAACCAATACATAAGCACAGCGCTGGAACATATTTAAAGACAACAGAAACTCATTATATGCTGGAGGCAAATACTGCATGTGAATGCAAATGTTCAGACAAACATAAACAAGTGCGCGCACACGCACAGACACACACTTATAGCTTCCGTTAATTAAATTTTATAATAAGCGAAGGGAAAATGCTTGAAAATGGAAAAGGGAAGGGAAGGGCGAAAGACACGGCATCATAATAGCAGGATGAAGCATTATGGACATCGTAAAAATTGTGTAGAGAGAGAGAGTGAGTGAATGAATGAGTGAATGAGAGAGAGGG